AAATAAATAAATAAATAAATAAATAAATAAATAACTAAACAAACAAATATAAATAAATAAATAAATAAATAAATGGTATAAATAAACAATTTATCAATAATTAATAAATACATATAGTTTAAAAAAAATTTTCATATATATAAAATATTTTTATGCAATTTTATTGCCAATATTGAAAAAAAAAAATTCAAAATAGAAAATAAAATAAAAAGGAAAAATACAAGAAAAAATATGAATAATTATATCAAAATTTATTCATATTTATTAATAATTATATGATTAAGATCAAAGATTATCCATTCATTAATTATACAATGCAAACATAAGTAATGCCAAAAATAGAATGAATCATTTTTACACTATTTTATTGCTTTGCTTTCTATCAATGATCATTTATGTAGGTATGCATATATATATATATATATATACATATGATGTGTGTGTGTGTGTGTGTGTGTGTGTGTGTGTATATCTGTGTGTGTGTGTGTGTGTGCGTGCATATGCAATAATTACAACAAGGTAATATATTAATAATAGACAGGTGTAAATGAAAAATAAACGAAAAATTGAATGAATTACTTTTTATTGTTAGTGAAATTTTAAATCTTGCATAAATGCTAAATCCTACTTATTACTAATTGTTGGTAACCTAAGCAACAGGATGGATAATCGTTTGTTTTTCTCGTGAAAAATAATTAAATGAAGGGATTTTGATTAGCAATGCATGGAATAATTGTAGTCTTGTGAAAATATAAAATTATAATTTATAATACTTTTTTTTTATTACGAATTAAAAAATTGATTAATTAATTATACATTTGTTGTTTACAAAATTTCCTATTTTTTTTTCCTTTTTTTTTTTGTTTTTTTGATTTATAAATTATAAAATTTTATTTGTAAAATATTTCGAATTATAAATTTCACAAAATTCTTTTGCAATACACTTTCCTTTTTTCTTTTTTTTATGATTTATAAATTGTAAAATATTTCGAAAATAATTGAAGAAATGATAATTAATTGATAAAATTATTTATATGATTTAAATAAAGTAAATTTTTTTAATTTCTTTTTTTTAAATTTTTCGTCAATTTTTTACCCTTTCCATGCATTTCATTGATAAATTTTTTTTCGCAATATAAACTTTACTAATGATTTTGAAACATCTTATAGTTATATCAGATATCTTCTTTCTTTTCCCTTTTTTTTTTTCGTCTTCCAAATCTTTTTAAATGCTAACAAAATGACCATCATTTAGTTAATACCTAAAAATTGATGATCATATACAAAAGTGTTTGTTTTAATAATTACTTTTAATTTGGTCATTAATGACAATGACCAAATGAAATGACCAAATTGAACAGATATCATTTTTTTTTTCTTCTAAATTTCTTTCAATGCTAAAAAAAAAATGACCATTATTCAGTTAATACCTAAGAGTTGATGATCATATACAAAAGTGTTTGTTTTAATTTAGTCATTAATGACAATGACCAAATGAAATAATGACAATGACCAAGTGGAAAACTTCTGATAATCAATAACTATATTTTTTTCCCCCTCTTATTTTCACTCTTTTCTTTATGAAATTCTCAAATCATTATTGCTCTTTTTTTTTTTTTTTTTTTAAGCAGCTAATGCTTCTTATTTAAGCTTTTTTTGCTCCACTGATTTGTAATAAATATTAGAAATACACCTGTTATTAATTCTTGATGCAACTAAATACACTACTGATATAATCACTCTTCACTAGACTATTTTCTTTTTTTTTCTTGGCCTATTTTGGAATATATCAATTTAAAATCATTCAAATTTACAGTATCTGAGTGGTAATTCACAGTAACCTGCAGTATGCAAAATTTACAATTTACAGTATAAATCTTATATTAATTTCATTTTTGTTAAAATAAAAGAATTGTAAGTAATAGCAAACAATTGGTTAAAAAAAGAGAAAAATAAAAGTATTAAAGGATGCAATAAATACTGAAATTAATTTAAAAATAAATTTTAACAAAAAAATAATTTATTTCAAAATTTTATTTCATTACAATAAAAGTAAAAAGATTTTTTATCAATTTTTCACAAATTAATGTCATAATATTCTTTTTCTTTTTCGCCTATAAAATTTTTGCTGCATTAATCTTATAAAATATTGTTTTTTTAATTTTTTAAAAAAAAAGAAAAACAAACTTTATGGAAATTTCCATGAAATATTAAATGAAAAGAAAATGAAAATTTTTGCAAAAAAAAAATATTGAAATGAAAATTTGAAGGAAATATATGCGCAATATTTTATTACATCAATAAAATTTCATCCCAAAATATTATTATTAATTTTTAATTTTCAGTTATTTATTCATTTCCGTATTAGCATATGTTAGCATTATCCTTTACAATATTTCTTTTTTTTTAAATAAAATTTCAGCAAATTACGACAATTTTGCAAATTTACAAACTAATATTACATAGCTTAAGGAATTTTTGTAGTCTAATTAAAAGGAATTAATTAAATCAATTCGAATTCCATTCAAATTAAACAATTTTGTTCAATAAATTTAAAATATTACTAACTTTACGTAAAATAACAAACAAACTGTTTTTTAATGACTTACTTAAGAAATTAATTAAATCAATTCGAATTTTTGCTCTATTACCATCGATTATTTTAAAATTCAACTCATTAAATTTTATATTTGGATTTAAAAAAAAAAAAAAAAAGAAAAAAGAAGCAATCCTTAATACCTTCCTCTTTTTTTTTTTTATCTATTCAAATTGACGACAATAATGCAAGCTTATTTTAATGTAAAATTAAAATCTAGCGGAAAGAGAAAAAAAAAAAAAAGAAAAAAAACTTGAGTATAGCAAAACCTTTCAATACTTAATTCTTCCTTGAAATTTCGCCACATATGCTACCCTTTTAGGGTATTTGCAATGACAGCGTCACCTTTGTTATTCTTCTACCTTTCAATTACCAATATCACGAAGAAATGTTGAATTCTAAAAATTTAAATTTTTATTTTTTTTATTTAATTATTGCACCAAAAAATATCCCAAAATTAAATTTCCACATAAAAAATATCAATAAAATGAAACAAAAATTTGTTATAAAAGTTTGATATAAACAAATGTAATTAATGTGATCATATTTTATCATACAAATTATTAATTAATGAATTAGAATTCTTTTTACTAATAATATAAAATTTCAATTGTAATTCTTTCATAAATATATTTAATTAATTTATATTTAATTCTAATTAATTTTAATATCAATATCATTGTATATTATCATAATTTATTATTGTAACAAACAAATATTTCAAATTTATTAATTTATTTCTATTAAAAAAAAAAGAAAATACAGTACTGTTTGATAAGTAATTGAATGAAGTAAGGTAAAGGAGAAGTTTGGGATAAAATTAATTCTTAAACGATTTCACATATGGACAATTTATTGAAAAATGTAAATTAGCACCTAATAAACATTCTATATCCGTCGTCTATTCATTCTTGTCAATCTAGAAGTTATACAAAGACAGACATGTACATACACACACGCACACACACACACACATACATACACATACAGATAAACACATACAACATACATATACACATGAATGCATACATACATTACTTACATACATACATACACTTACATACATACATACACACATATATATTGTCTATGTAGAAGATATGCAAAGATATATACACACACAGACACAGACATACACACATGCACACACATACAACACATATATGCACACGTATACACACACATATACACACGCACACACACACACACACACACATACACACACACATATACATTGTCTATCTAGGAGATATGCAAAGATAAATACGTACACACACACACACACATATATATATATATATATATATATGTATATAGACTTTACCTTTCTTTCAATTATTGTTGCTAACGGATACGAATAAATTGAATGAATTTAATAATATTTGCAAGTACATATTCATTTTTAGCAAAAAATAATTCTCATTAATTTTTATTTTCAGTTTTTTTTTTTTAATATATACAAATACTTTGATACTAAAGAGATATAGGTGAAATTGTCGTATTAAATATTAACACTTCCATTGTGATCATTGTACATAAGTATGTACACACACACGCATGCACACACACACACACATACATACACATGCACACACACACACAAACACACACACATACACACACAAATCGTATAAAGAATGAAGTGATAAAATGTGAAAATGCGATTTAGCAATTGTAATCAAGAGATCTTCTGATACATGAATTGGAAAATATATCAAATAATATCGTTTTCAAATTAAGTTTTCGATTTAAAATTGTATAATGTATTATTTGCGAATTCGCAAAATCATTAAATTCATGCTATTTTAAATCTTTAACAATTTAATGATATAATATGATTAACAAATGCATTTGAAATATATCATACAAATTATACCGTAGCTATACATCAGTGGTTCTCAATCGATCGTTCACGGATCACAGGCGTTCCAAGAGGGCGACATCGCGGTGAATAGGAAATTACTGATGAAGGAAAAATAAAATTGACTTTTTTCCTTATATTCTTTCTTTTGCATAATATCATGTTACTCTAAGTTCATGTAATACATTAAAAGTTTTGATTGAAGGTTTTTTACCAAAAAAAAAAGAAGGAATTTGGTATTTTTGAAGTTTATGGCCTTTAAAAATTGAAAAATAAAAAACAAAAAAGTCAAAGTAATCTTTGGACAAGAAAAGTCTCTGATCTCTGACCTTTGCTCTTGCAAATCATGGATGCAAACAGTTCGACATACTATTTCATATATATGTGACTGTACCAGAATTGTATCATGATTCGTATTTTCAATAATCGATTCATAAGTTACGATTAAAATGATTTCAATCGATCGTAGGATTAATGAAATGATTGATAAAACTTTTGAGCAGTTATAGTTCTGGTCATTGCTAAAATTATTTATAAAATAATTTTATTTGTAAAATAACTTTTTTACAAAATAAATTTTTACCTGATATATCAGGCCATCTGTGATTATGAGTGATCAAAAGATACTGGCTACCGTTTTTTTTATCCTTTCTTTTTTTGTAAAATAAATTTTAACCTAACATAGTGATCTATAATTATGAGTGACCAAAAGATACTGGTTACTGTAGTTGAAACATCACTTCTACAAGTTCATCTCGTTTTAAAACATTCTTAATCGGTAAAGTATGTCAGTTTTAACTCTTTTTTTATATGGTGTCTGTTAGTTTTAACTTTTATTTATCAGAATATTTGTTACCGGTCTTTATGTTAAATATCAGGACTTCAGGATAAGATACTATTGTAGAATCTGTTTATATAATGGATTTCAGGATAATTTTTTTTTTAAGATTTCAGGATAGGATACTGTCGTAGAATCTGTTTGTATCGTAGATTTCAGGATAAGATACTATCGTAGAATCAGTTTGTATTATAGATTTCAGGACAAGATACTATCGTAAAATCTGTTTGTACCATAGATTTCAGGATAGCTTTTTCTTTCAGGATTTCAGGATAAGATACTGTCGTA